TCCCAAAGTGCTGGGATTATAGGCATGAGCCACTGGGCCCTGGCCTAGTTGCGGACTTTCAAAGATGGTTTGAAAGGCTGAGGGGTAAAGATTGCCTGAGCCCAGCGGATCGAGGCTGCGGTAGCCGTCAGTGTGCCATTGCACTCCAGTTTGGGAGACAGAGTGAGACTCCAACTCCAAAAAAAAAAGTTAACGTGCATTCACATATCTAATCACGTGAATTCACGTGTCTGGCATCAATGGTCATGTGTGAGCATCCTCTATGAGTGGTTGTGCCTTTGTGTGCTTTCCAGGTCTGTAGAGAGCACAGTAGTACAGTGCCTTTATTTATTTATTTATTTATTTAGAGTCGGGGTCTCACTCTGTCTCCCAGGCTGGAGTGCAGTGGCACACTCATAGCTACCACAGCTCGATCTCCTGGGCTCAGGCAATCCTTCTGCCTCAGGCTTTCAAGTAGGTGGAACTACAGGCACCTATCACCACGCCCAGCTAATTTTTTTATTTATTGTGGGGTCAGGGTCTTGCCAAGTTGCCCAGGCTGGTCTGAAACCCATGGGCTCAGGCAATCCTCTCACCTCAGCTTTCCAAAGTACTGGGATTACAGGTATGAGCCACTGTGCCCCACTAGTGTCTTTATTTCAAGCCCAGGGTGTCAGAAGCAAGCATCAAAGCAGTGGTGATGTAACTGGTACTGTATAACCGGTTGTGTGAGTTGGGTAGCTGGGCTGACTTCGTGGGACTTACGAACACATTGGACTTAACAAACTCATTTGTATGTCAGGGACCTACCTGTAGTTGGATCGGTGTGACTTCCTTGAGCCTCTTTCTCCATCTGTTGGTGTTGCTTGTGAGGGTTGGAGACCATGTAACCAAAGCACTAAACATGGCATCTTGCATGCAGTAGGTAGCTATGGCTTGTATGAGCCCTCTCTCCTTGTTGGTATTTTTCTTCTAGAGACACGATTATGCTAGGACTTTTTTTTTTGAGTTGGAATCTCACTCCGTCACCCAGACTGGAGTGCAGTGGCCGCTCCCGGCCATAGCAGCCTCAACCTGCCGGGCTCTGGTGATCCTTCCACCTCAGCCTTCCAAGTAGCTGGAACTACAGGCACGCGCTACCACACCCGGCTAATTTTTTGATTTATTGTAGAGATGAGGTCTTGCCAAGGTGCCCAGGCGGGTTTCGAACCCTCATGCTCAGGCAATCCACTCAC